CTTCATTTATTACAACACTTAGAAAAGGTAACATGAAGCTATTAGGGAATTGAGAGACCTCTTATGCGATTAATTTGTTCTACTGCTGAGACATACATGATTCTGGTTACTACCTAAAAATTTGTTAATGTAATTCTAAGTAACAATTAACCGTTTACTTTATGCTTTTCATTTTTTATGCTCAGAAACAATGTAGTGTCACAGTGATGATTCAAATTAAAATTGTAAACACTTTTATTCTTATTCAAATACTCCAAATGAAGCATACATTTACTTACTTACTTACGCTTGTTAATCCCAATCGAGCATAGACCACCGACCAGCATTCTCCAACCCACTCTGTCATTCACATTCCATTCTGGTTCTATCCAGCTGTTGTTCATTCTTCTCATGTCTGTCTCCATTACTTGGCATACTGTGTTCATTGTTCTTCCTCTTCTTTGGCCTTCAGGGCTCCGTGTGAGGGCTTGCCTTGTTACGCAGTTGGGTGATTTCCTCAATGTGTATCTTATCCACTTCCAGCGCGTCTTCCTGATTCCTTTTTCCATTGGATGGAATCTGGTTTGTTCTTTCACACAGTAGGTTGTTGCTGATAGTGCTTGGCCAATGGATCTTAAGTATCTTGCGTAGACAACCGTTTATAAACACTTGTACGTTGTTGATGATGAATTTAGTAGTTCTCCAAGTTTCCGTACAGTAGGACTGTCTTGACGTTCGTATTGAGGATTCTCACCTTGAAATTAGTTGACAGTTGTTTTGAGTTCCATATGTTCTTTAAATGTAAAAATGCTGTCCTTGATTTGCTAATCTTCGCCTTTACATCTGCATCCGATCCTCCTTGCTTATCAATAATGCTTCGTATGTACGTGAATGTTTCACCTCTTCCAGAATTTCTCCATCAAGTGTGATTGAGTTCATATTCCTCATGTTGTATTTGAGAATCTTGCTTTTTTCTTTGTGAATTTTGAGGTCTACTGATGCAGAGGCTGCTGCTACATTTGTTGTTTTCGTTTGTATTTGTTCGTGTGTATGAGATAGGAGGACTAGATGATCTGTGAAGTTCAAATTATCTAACTGATTCTGAGATGTCTATTGTATTCCGTGCTTCTCCCAAGATGTCGAGAATTTCATAATCCAGTCAATCATCAGAAGAAAAAGGAAGGGGGTGAGTTGACAGTCTTTACTGACTCCTGCCCTTACTGGAAATGCATCTGTGCTCGTCTGAATCTTAGGCGCACAAAATTTAATGAAATCAGTAGTGATCTATAGCTTTAGGAAATATTTTTTTTAATTACTTCATAGATATTTTCAAATACTCATTTTAGTAAGCACCTTAGTTATTGAAGCAGGTTAATATTACATTAGACAACTATTACAATACACTTTATATAAACAATAATCATGTGCCTATTACTGATTATCTTCAAGATGAATTCTTCATATTCTGTTATAATCTGGCTAGCAGTAGAATTCAGAACGCTCGTCTCGTCCTATTTTGGACTTGTCAGCTCGACGTATCTGCATCTCAGAGTTGATGTCCACTTTGGAACTTAAACTCAATACCTTCAAACGCTATCGCGTTATCCACTTAGCTACTGAGTCCTGATAGGCGCTTGCTTTTCAATCCTTAAAATATGTCTATCAATAAGCTTATTTATGGAGGAAGAAGAAGAAGAAGGGACTTAAATTAAGCTAAGAAATGTCGATCGTGTTTATTTTCTTTTCCAAAATATTTTCATCAAACCTTACAGACAGGAGTTTCTCTACTAAGAATAAAACCCTATGATCAATCCAATACATAATAATAATGCCATTTCAATATAAAAGTCCTGTTTTCTACATACAAGTCATCAAGATTTTATGACAGGAAGTTCAGTTTTCTTTTACATATAATGATAGGGTAACCATGTTAAGATGTTTTTTTGTCTTAAGCTATGTCTACTAAACTATTGTTAGTCAAATAATTGTTTTAGATAGTATTTAGTGGATTTGCTTCGTTAATCAATCATCTTGATAACCACTAATATATAAATCCCAACAGTGTTTGAAATCAGAAAGCAATAAGAACTGGCAAACTACAGTTTATTAGTGGACAGTACAGACACCAAAATCATAAGCACATCGAGAGGAGAATGTGTGTGTGTGGATAACGCCATGACGTTTGAAGCGAAAGGTACTGGGTTCGAGTCCCAGAGTGAACATCAACTCTGATGTGTAGGTACATACAGCTAACGAGTCCGAAAAGCGCTTTGTCCTGGATTCCACTCCCAGACACTATCCATCTCTGCTTACCATGCTTGTGAATTAAGGCTATATTGAGGCAATACGCACAGTATGCACATATGCCAATTAGAGACTGACCAGTTGCAGTCCTAAAAACATCAATGGGAAGATTGAAAACAAACAATACTATGTGAATTGTCTGTTAAGTTATTAAAAGAGCTTAATCAAAATTAACCACAATCAAAATTAATTGTAGGAGAGTCGCCATAACTTGTAAATGAATTTGAAATGCTCAACTCCTAGCTAACTTAAGGCATTTAACAACTAAGGTAGATCCAACATACATTAGAATTCACTGGGATTGGATATCTTATTGCGTACTTCACAACGTTAGAATTAAAATATTATTATTACGTCCTTGACTTATACGATTATAGCGAAATATGATTTCCGAATTTACATGTGTTACTGGACTCCTATGATGAATTTATAGGTATTACGTTCAACATTTGTAAAATAGCTTAGTATCTAAAATACCTACTGTTTGACCTTATGATCAAACAAGATATAAACAAACTAATGTTATGTATTTTAATATTGACTCAAAACAATCTACGATAATTTATTGACTATTGTGCCTATCACAGGAATCTAGGATGCGAGTTTAGTTCCGGTTTGGGATTCATCAGCTGAATGTATACACTGGATCTTCAACCCAGTACCTTCCACACCAAGCGTCCAAATTTTATTAGACTGAGTTACAGAATCCAGATAGGAAACACTTACTTACGCCTGTTACTCATCGTGAAGGAGCATAGGCCGCACACCAGTATTCTCTATCTAAGATTGTTCTGGACAATCCTTTCCAGTTCTTTCTAGTTGTTATTCCTTTTCATATCTGATTCTATTTCCCGACGTAATGTGTTCTTTGGCCTTCTTCTTTTCCGCTCCCCTTCTGGATTCTAAATTAGCGCTTGCCTCGTGGTGCAGTTTGGTGAATTTCTTAATGTATGTCCGGTCCACCTCCAACATCTTTTTTCTAATTTTCTCTTCAGCTGGAATCTGGTTTATCCTCTCACATAGAAGTCTTTTGCTGATAGTATCCGGCCAAGTGAATGTTGAGTATTTTGTAGATATGAAACAGCTTGTATAAAAGTTATAAATTTAATTATATCTTCATATGCACCAACTAATATCTACCATAAATCAATGAAGATTAACAACAATGAAATAATTCAAACCCTTACGAAATGAGTAGATCCTGATTCTACTCAAGATGACACTCGTACATTACTGAACATTTCCTAACTTTATATACAACTATTGTTTATTGCTCTATTCTTAACAGTCAATGTTACCTTTTTAAATCATTGGTTTTTGTCACATTATCAAGTTATACAAAAATAGAGATAATTATGATAACAGTAATTTCGAAAGAAAGGTTTATTTTACTGTTCGGTATGCTCCATAATGATTAATCATACTTTTTAAAATGAATACTGTTGCATTTCATGACAAGTTTTCCCAATTGGTTCTTGTTATAACAGTTCTTTCACTTTTTACACGTATGTGAGACGTTAATTTACCTTAGACGAATATGTTTACTAGATTCCTTCAGGAATTCCTACAGGAATTCAACACAATTCAGATGAAGAACAAGTGATTAAAGACTAACTAGAACGTAAATACATTTCCAAATCAAAACCGACACAATCTAACAACAATCAATAAAAATAAATAATAGGGATAGGGTAATATATAACTATCCTGACACCTGTCAAACTATCTACATATCTGACTAAGCAAGCAACCAATCATTATCATTCTCATCAAAACATCAGTTTTGTCGTTGCTTATTGACATTTTTTGAAAGTTACTTATCTTTATTTAAACCCTAACATTTATCATACACTATCCTACATATTTTAAACTTTTTTCACTTAAACAAATGACTTAATACTTGATTGGTAGTTCCAACGAGATAATGTAGCAGCAGCAGCCTATGAATCAATAAGCCTTAACATATGTAAAGAAAAAAGCAAAATACTCAATTACAATATGGAGAACATCTACACAATTACACTCGATCAAGAATTTCTGGAAGATGTGAAATCTCTCACGTAACTAGTCAGTAGCATTTTAGTGAACAGGAAAAGATTGAGGACAATCGAATGTATTTGACACGAAAATTACAGACTATCTCATTAAAATCTGATTACCATACGGTAAAAATAATTAATTTGCAAAATAACAACCTATCGTCTCGATCTTAACTGTTCTGTCTTCTCTGATTATTATTTTTCATGCATTTTCTACCAATTGTGCTTCATTCCTGTTCGTTCCTTGACGATCTTCTGCCAAAATACATTCTTTGTCTGACCATAACCATATACTACTTATATGGATATAAGTAGACCACACTACAGTAGTAGTAATAATCATATATATATAAATGATGATGCTGAATGAAAACAAAAAAAAGAGGAAAACCATAAAACACACTTCATTGGGAACTGACAGCAGATATGAAGGGGATAAATATCAACTGGAATCAACTAGAAAGGATTGTCCAGGGAAAGGGTTAGATATAAAGTCCGTGTCCCTCCATCATAGGTAACAGCCGTATGTAGTAGTAATAGATAAGTCTTTTTAGAGCTTATTTACCTCAGGCTAATATATATATATATATATATATATATATATATATATTCTTTTCAATTCTTGACTTTGTTCTTAACTAATCTTTCCTCTTTTTTTTCTATCTCTCATTTATCTAGTGTATCATTTATCCTACAACTCATCGTGGTAACATCAATACTGCTATCAAATTAAATTATTTAACATGGATTATAGCTGTTATATTATCTAGTCCACTTGTTTACTTTTCACACATTACTCAATTAAATCATTTACAATGTACAGAAAAAGCGGATAATTTAACTATACAAAAATTAAAAGTGATTTATTCATTAGCAGCATTAATTATACAATATATGACACCATTATTTATTGTCACAATTGTTTATTCACGTATTTGTTTAAGTTTACATAATCGAAAATTACGTGCAATACAAAAAATTTATTTATCACAAATTATACAAAAACAAATGAATCAACAAAATCATAATAATAATAATAATAATAATAATAATAATAATAATAATAATAAAGATAATCGATTTTATCGAAAAAAGAAAATCAGTCTCCATGGCAACAAACATGGTATTGATAATAGTAATAATAACAATAATAATAATGATAGTAATAACAATAGTAGCAATAGTAATGGTAATAATAGTAGTAATAGTAATAGTAATAATAATGTTAATAACAATAATGGTAATAATAATAGTAGTAATAATAGTTGTAATGATAATGAAAAAGAAAATGGATTATATACAAAGGAAATAATGAGTCCCCATGGTGACACACATAGTAATGACAATAATAATAATAGTAATAATAATAGTAATAATAATAATAATGATAATAATAGTAATAGTAATAATAATAATAAAAAGGAAAATGGATTATATACAATAAAGAAATGCATACCCTACACTGAAACACATAGTAATGATAATACTACTTCTACTACTAATAATAATAATAATGTTGGTAATAATAATAATAATCATAATGTATATCGTTCCAACAATCTGAATTTTTCAGACAATCAACCAACTCCTCAACAAAACCTACTTCTATCCCCTATACCAATTTTATCAATATCCTCACAAAAACAAGCAATTGATCGTCGACATCGTAAAGCCATTATATTATCTATAGTGATTGCTATAATATTTTGTTTAAGTTGGTTACCAATTAATACAATGAATGTTATTAGTGATATACGTGAATTAATTATTATAAGTAGTATTGATATAGCAATAAAAAATTTAAAAATGAATGAATTCAATTATCATATTAATAATACTACTTATAATGATCATAATAGTAGTACTAGTAGTAGTAGTAGTAGTGATAGTAGTATTGTCATTCATAATGAATCCCCTTCATATTCACCTATTAGTTTAAAAGAATTTAATAAAATAATGAGTATTGAAGCTAATAATATTGATGCTATCACTGTTATCATTACACAATCATTATGTTTATTATTAATATTAAGTTCAGCATGTATTAATCCCATATTATATGGTTGGTTAAATAAAACATTTCGGATGGAATTTTATCAAGTATTAAATATACATTCATTATTTATTAAAACAAATAATAATAATAATAATAATAATCAGTATGAAAAATCAATAAATGATCATGATCGAGATCATCATCATTATCATCATCATCATCATCATCGTAATCATCATCATGATCTCGATCACCATCATCATGATCGCGATCATCAATATCGTGATCGAGATCATCATCATCATCATCATCAATCTTGTCAATTATTATCAAATGATCATATGAATAAATTAAAACTTGAATATAGATCAATAACTTCAACACAAGATTCATGTACATTATTTTCTTTATTTACATCTAAATCTATTGAATTGAATTCAGTACAACATTCAATGGATAATAGTAGTATTATCAATAATACTCCTAAAACTTTTATCACTAATACCAACTATACTACTAATACTACTAATAATCATAATAACAGTAATATAATAGACAAAAGCATAACTAATGAATCAAGAAAGTATTTTTTATTGAATAATTATGACCATGTTAACATTCATCATCATGAGGATGGCGATGATGATGAGGATGAGGATGAGGATGAATGTGATATCATTCCAGAAACCGATAGTAATATTGATTTAACAAATCTTAGATATTTACCAGATATAACATCTATTTAATTTGAAGAATTTTCTTTTCTATATATATGAATTGATTTTTTTGTGTATTTGATTTTTTTTGTTTTTTTGGGGGGGGGAGGGGGGTTTTCTTTTTGTCATATTCTTCTTTCACTTGTTTATTTTTGTTCTGAGTGTTTTTACAAGAAGAAGAAAGTATATAAATATTATTTAATTGTAAATTATTTTTATTTGTTTCATTTCATGTATTCAAGTGGTTGCCAAGTTAAGTTGATTACAAACTATAGCCGGAATACCGTGAAAATTGATAAGATTATGGGATATAACATTGATTGATAATGCAATACTTCAATGCCAAAAATGATAAGAAGAATTGATCAAAAGTGAATAATAAATAATTGGGAATATGAGAAGAAGGGTTTTTGTGGAGATTTTAGTAATTTTTTATATAGTTGAAATCATGAGTCTATTGAAACTAGACCACTATGGAAAATCTAGAACCACTGGACGGGAGTTTCTTCCTATTGTATGACTCCTCAGAAAAGCGCATCCATGATCCCGCTGTTATGTCTTGATCAAGGTTGTCGCTAATTTGTTATAACTTTACAAGATAAACCAAGGACGTATCCTGCGTGAATTATCCACCAATAGAAATACGAATCTGTACGAACCTATGCGAATCATTTATTTTAAACATACTCGGTTTATATATCAGATAGACAGGCCACATCACACCATATAATAAGAAATAATATTTGTATGAGATCAATCCCAAAGTGTGGCTGAGAACGTGGGAGACGATAATTAATAAACTGAATATAATTTAGAAACAGTAAATCATATAATAATAATCATTAGGTCAAATTAAAGCTTATAATAAGATGAATATAGATATAGATAATCTGGTTGCTGAATAGTTATACAATAGGAATATACATAGAATAGTAGTCCAATAATAGGTCCCGTAAGTTATTCGTACTTACTTCTTCCCTAGTATATAACACTTGCTTCACGAGATTCGAACCCAGGAGCTATCAGTTTTGAGCGCTTAACAACTAGACCACTAAGCCGGCATCCAGGTTTCACATGGTAGTCTCCCTTCAATTGACTCATGATTTCAACTACATAAAAAATTAGAAGTATGAACAATACTAATGATAACAAGCAGATAAACGGCATAGGGAACATAGTTGGAATACAATAATAAAACCAATCAATATTTAAAGTTAAAAAAAAACTAAATGATTGAAAATTGATTTTAAACCATGTTACGTAAGAGAATGATCGATTGCAGTTTTAAACGTCAATGGGAAGAATCAAGTAAATTTAAACTTCACCCCATTGCATAAGCAAATGGCTATTAGGACTTAGTAGCTAAATGGATAATGTGATAGTGTTTGAAGCGAACGGTACTGAGTTCGAGTCCCGGTGTGTACATAAACTGTGGGATGCACTCATACCCGGCTAAAGAGACCCAAATGGAACGAAACGCGCGTCTTGCATGTACTCATAGAATCCCAAATATTTTATACAATAAATGATAACTTAACCTTAACTTTGTAAAATATACTGAAACTGTGGTTTCTGAGAATGTGTAACATTTACCTAACGCGGAATAAAAATATGTTATACTGACCATTGAATATACCAGATAATTTGATTACTAGCTTCAATAATTGTGGCAAACAAATATGAGAAATACCGGAAGTGTTTTGTGTAGATTTTAGTAATTTTTTATTTAGTAAAATCATTAGTCAGTTGAAGCTAGACCACTATGGGAAACCTGCAAGCACTAGACAGTCGTTTCATCCTATTGTGGGACTCCTCAGAAGTGCGTATCCATGATCCTGACTAGCGACATTCGAACCGACGACCTATTAATCTCGCCCGCGAACGTTGAACCTATAGACCACTGAGTCGACCGGCATCTAACGGTATTAATGTCTAGCTTCAACCAACCCACGAAAATGAGCGACACATCCACTATTGTCTCCAGTGAGCTACTAACTTATAACAGATCTAGTTGAACTCCACTGGTTTCTGCTTCTCACTAGAACTTCAGGAAATACCTCCTGGTTGAATAAATCGAATTCCTACTGATGAATAAATAACGTGATATAAGCCGGTCATAAAATCACAACAAATTGGCGATGGCCTTTTAAATTCATAACATTATATACTTGAAAATGGTAGATAATACAGATTTCTCGATTACTGGAGAAAAAGACAGTTATCATCTCATATCGTCTTTCACTAGTCCACATTTGTATGATGAAACTGTTAGGTAATTCTTAATTTTTTATAGTTGTCTACGTGTAGATAATCTCAAAAGGTAGAGATAAGATGTATTTACAATTGATTAACCACTGGGTGTTGATCAATATCATGAATGTCAGGTTCTTTTGTAGGATTTAATTTGTTCTACAGCAAGCGCTATAACGGTGATCCAAGGAGTCTATATGAAAGTTACAGTCAGAACAAGAACAACTTGACTTGAAAACTTCATCTGTTTCTAAACCTTAAAACAATTAGATTAACAAAATAATTGAAGGAATTACAGTTATTAAGTGAAACGCACAAACATACCGACCAGTATTGCGTGTCTTATCGAAATGAATAAAATTACGAGTCACGCTAATATAATAGGGTAATAATATCTTCCAGTTGGTAGGTCACATTCAATATGGATAGTTTACAGACACATTAGACAAGATTAACGTGAAAGAAGCCTAAGTAAAAATTTAATTAGTTCGTTATGAACATAACTAACATCTTTCTAAGTGTAGATCGAATCCGTCGGGAAGCATCAGATCCCTCAAGAAAACATGTACACCTTGCTGACGAGTGTCAAATAGCACGAAACCAAGTTTCAGGATTTCCTGTCGGCTACCTCCAACAAATATCTTATCTCAACATAATGCACGTAAATGATCACTATCCAGTGATCAAGCAATTATAAATTTGATTACTTTTATATCAAATATGAAGGAATTTATTAAGAATTTCAAGAAAATATAGTGAGATATAGTGAATAGCATATTTTTAATGAACATTTGAATTATTTAATCATTAATGTTATATGACCGTGGTCAGTCTAACTATAGAGTATACGAACCAAATTATTTACCCTTCTGTCTTCAACATCAAAATCCTTAATCCTAAGGAAGATTAACATTAACAACGTTGATTGCCGGCTCAGTGGTTTAACGGTTAAGTGCTCGCGCGCGAGACTGATTAGTCCTCCGTTCGAATCTCGCGAGTGCAGGATCATGGATGCGCACTGCTGAGGAGTCCCACAATAGGATGAAACGGCCGTCCAATGCTTTCAGGTTTTTTATAGTGGTCTAGCTTCAATTGACTCATGATCTCAACTGTCAACTTATTTGATTCATCGAAATTGAGGAACTGTATTCACATTGTAAAATAGTTGTACACATGATATGCTTTCTAGTTTCTACATTATATTCATCACGTATCAGAATTTGGAAATTATAATAAATTAATGATGAATTAGCTGAGTAAACAAACAGTTCAATGTTTACATCCTCGCTTCATTCAATACAATGTCCTAGTTGTTAGAGAACTATTATTTATCATACTGCCGTTTAAACATCCGATAAAAGACCCCATCACCTTAAAGAAATATTAATGAAAATGTTCTGAAAGATCACAAATCATTTTCACGTATATGGAAAACATATTTGCTATTTGTAGACGTAAGTATCAAGATACCCTGGGGAATTCATCTCTTCTCTAGGTTTTATCAAAAGAAAAAAAACATTTAGGAAATCAAATTGTTAACATTTTTATTATAAGTTGCGATCATGAATCAATTGAAGCTAGACCACCATGAAAACCTGGAAGCACTGGATGGCCATTTCATTCTATTATGGGACTCCTCAGCCAGAGGTATTTCCCGGAGTTCTATTGGGAAGCAGAGACCAGTGAAGTTCAACCAGGTTTGTGGTGAGATGATAACTCACTAAAGACAATGGTGGATGGTTGCTTAATTTCGTGGATTTGTTGAAGTTAGACATTAACACCGTTAGATGTCGATCGGCTCAGTCGTCTAGAGGTCAAACGCTCGAGCGCAAGACTGATAGGTCGTGGGTTAGAATCTCGTAAGGCGTGATCATGGATGAGCATTTGAGGAGTCCCACAATAGGACCAAACATCCATCCAGTGCTCGCAGGTTTTCCATGGTTGTCTAGGTACATTTGACTAATGATTTCAACCATAAAATTACTAAAATCTCCACAAAACCCCCGTCTGATTATGCAATCTTAGCATTGTGCCAAACCAGTTATTTTTGACGGGTATTACCAGCCTAACGTCCTTATTAATCCCTTGTCCTCCTAGCTCTTCCAATTAAGTCCAAAACACCAGTGACAGCTTTTGTTATGCGAATCATTTATTCCAAGCATACTTGGTTTATATACCAGACAGACAGACCGCATCACACCATAAAATAGGAAATAACATTTGTATGAGATTAATCCATTAGTGTTGCTGTGAACGTAGGAGACGGTAATTAATAAACTGAACATAATTTAGGAACAGTAAATCATATAATAATAATAATAATAATAATAATAATAATAATCTATAGGTCAAAATGAAGCGTATAATAAGTTGAATATAGACACATGCGATATAATCATCGAATAGTTATACAACAGGAATATATATAGAATAATAGCCAATTAATAGATCCCGGAAGTTACCCGTACTTATGTCTTCACTTGGATATAACATATACCGACCATCCAGTGAGGATGTACTGTATGAAGGAGATCAAGTTTCACTGGAGATTGTATGTCAGTCATCTAAAGCTATCTACATGTATCTTCTCTGAACGTCCGATTGTAAGTCATCGAAATTTGAAAGATCAAAAACGCAAATAAATTGAAAGTTGGAGATTAAAAGAAGATCCTTAGTAAAATTAACGCTTTTCAACATAACATAGACCTATTGAATAAGTAGCAAAATGCTAGATATTGCATATACGTTAAACACTGAAAAGAGAATGTGCTGCGAATTCACCAACGTGGATCATATCGGTCACCAATAAAATGAACTGAAAATAATAGAAACACTACTAGTCGTGAAGGTTTTTGGCTTGAAATTATGGTGTTTGGAGATCATTACCTTCATATTAAGACAAATTAAGTTTAGAACATACTGTAGGACCTAGTGATTTTACAACAGTAGTTATAAATGTAAATTATCTTCAATATAGAACAATCTACACATAAATCAGATCCTAATATTCAACTAGTTTGATCGAATAAGATAAAAATAGTCACAATGATTTCATTATGCTTAACAGGAAATGTTATTCTTTTAAAAATGGACATTTTGAGCGATATGAAATTGATCATAATATTGGTAGGTTGAGGCGATATATTCATATTTAAACATTCACCAAGTCTCTTGGGATTGAAAATTAGAAAAGTCGTGAGTCAGTAGTGTCGGTTCCATGTTAAACCCCTATAACTTATTCTAGCTTTTTGGACAGATCAATTTACCCATGAGTCACGTTTTGACTTTGTCAATTATACGGTGAAGGGCTCTGGCTTGAGACTGGTAGATCCTGTGTTCGAATCTTGCGAGTGCGGGATCGTGGATGCGCACTGCTGAAGAGTCCCATAATAGGACGAAATGGCCGTCCAGTGCTTTCAGGTTTTCCATGATGGTCTAGCTTCAGTTGACTTATGCTTTCAACTTTGAAAAATTATACGGTTATTATTCTTGACCATTTTTATGTAAGCGTATGTGTGTCCATTTCTTATCTTACTCATCACAGGCCCGTAGCTTATTTTTGTGTGACTATAAATATTGATTAACGCTTGATTAAATGGAGTTGGTTCGCTCGTCTTCTCCACTTCATACTATCTCACTTCACTCTCTTTTCTTCGCTTCATTCGCTTCTTTCCTCTGATTGTCGGTTCAAATCAATGTATATACAAAATATACGTATTCGAAATCCATTTCCGTATTTGGATTATTGAATTCCGTTATTCATTAACGCAATTCAAGCCAGTGATTATATTCGAGGATCAACGATATGTTTATTTCAATAATAAACATTCATACAATATAACTGAACTGAGATACAGGGCCACAAAAGTAGTGAGACCGACGTGATAATATCGTCCGATCTAATTGATATCATAATGAAGGGCTTCACTATAAATCTAATTAGAGAGATACTCATCAAAATATAAATCTTGATACTAGTTTTCTTTAATGAGTTACTATCTCACAATAGACTCGGTTGAACTCCACTGGGTTCGAATCTTGCGAGGCGGGATCATGGATGCTCACTGCTGATGAGTC